TATATCATAACTCAAAAAAAAAAAAAGGAGAAAAAGGAAAAGAAAAAGAATTTTGAAGATTCAATTGTTTCGAAAAATCCCCCACTTGTGCAGGTGTTTATGGTTAAGATCGAGGAAAAGATACAAGCGAAAATCTTGCAAATTTGGAGAGCTATCATGAATAAAGGAAGGCAATAATGCTACCTTGCAAAGTGGAGGATCGGCTATTTTTGCAAAAGAAGTACATACTTCGGTAGCCAACTTGAAAAAAAAAGGGGGAATAAAAAAAAAGGAAAAAAAAAAAGAAAAGAAAAAAAAAAGAAAAAAAAGGGAATGAAAAAAAAAAGAAAAGAAAAAAGGGAATGAAAAAAAAAGAAAAGAAAAAGGGAATGAAAAAAAAAGAAAAAAGGGAATGAAAAAAGAAAGAAAAGAAAAAGAAAAAAAAAGAGAAAAGAAAAAAAGGGGATTGAAAAAAAAGAAAAAGAAAAAGAGAGTTTTTCCTTCGATTTTGCAAATTTTGCAATTGAACTCTGGGAGAATTTCATTGGAGATTACATTGCCAAGTTGGGGCAACATCTTATGCTTCGAAATGAAAGTGGTAATACATGCCAAAATCGAGATCCCGTCCTTGCACATTTTGACAAAGGCTCGGCAGAAGAAATCAAATGGATTAAGGAGCACACTGAGTTGTTGTCTCTTATTGATGAAAAAGAGGTTGAATGTTTGTCATGGACAATGCTATCATCAAAGGATGGTTCGTTGGCTATGACAAGAAAGATAAATCTCGCTTATTTGAAATGAGGGATAAGGTTTTGAAATAAATTCTTCCGATTCAAGAGGAGGATAAAGAAAAGTTTGCTCCAACTTAGCAAGGGCCATTTATTGTTCAAAGAGTGCTATCCGGAGGAACATCCATTCTTACAGAACTGGATAGACAGGTCTTTCCTCTGCCAATCCAATCAATTCAGACATGTGTGATAAATTCTTTATCTGATTATGTGATTTTTCTTTTTGAAATACCATCTATGGCGGATCAAAGGCGAGCCTTCTTCTTTTCTCTTTGAACATCTTATCCCTAGTTTTCCCCATTGAACCTCCAGAATAATTTAACCTTTCATTTGATAGCCCTCCTAAAGATTGCAAACCCCATACTGGGGCAATTTTTATCTCCTATTTGTCATAAAAAAAAAAAGAAGTCAAAAGCCAAACTGGCGCAATTTTTTCAGTTTTAATACCCCCATACTGGGGCAAATATTGATAGAATGCGGTCTTAGGGTTTTTGAAACCTCTTTGAAGATTTTGCTTTGAAACCTTAACACTTTTTCTACACCCCACATGACCCCATCATCAAAATCATAAATTCCCGACCTCCGCCTTAGTGGTATTTCTAATAAAAATCACTTAATCAAATGGCAATTGATGTCAATACACCTTCACCATTTTTACATGGGAAGGGTTGTCGCGCTGATGCCATCCCTTCTTTAAATACATTTCTGAGTTGATAAATGTCGAAAACCTGAAAGGGTGTCTTCAAATGAATGAAAAAAAAGAGAGAAAAAAGGGATTGAAAAGAAAAAAAAAAGAAAAAAGAGAAGGATGAAAAAGAAAAAAAAAAGAAGAAGAAGAAAATGAAAACAAAATAAAATAAAAAGGTGTGACCTTTGTGAAAATCCGAAAGGTTAAGGTCATCAAGGTGAGATTTTGGAGCACAAGAGAATCATGAACGAAAAGTGGGTTGCTGATACTTGAGATACTGGCCATTCATTCAAATCTGGTCATTAGAAAAGTTGATTTGTGGTACAAAGTGAGGTATGGCTGACTGATGCTTGAAAATTGAGAAGATTCAAAACAAGTTGCAGCACAACTCTTGAAGAGCAATTTTGACATCAAAAGATCATGTTTGCATGGTTCTCAAGGCCAAAAGGAGCACAAGGAATCACATGGTATTGGTATCATATGATCACTTTTTTTTTTGCTTTTTCAAAAGCATGAAAAATATGGCTTTCGTTAAACATGATTTACACTGGGGCAAATATCAAAAGAAGTGAGCTCCAATTTTGGTAATACATTCTAAATCGGCTTTGTGAAAAAAAAAGAGAGTTTTTTAAAGTCGAGAAGATAGTGACATATGTATGTACCTCTCAGATCTCTTGAGGGGAGAGTTGTTATTGGTATTCTTCAAGTTTTAAAATTCGTCACTTTTGATTTTTTTCAAAAAAAAAAAAAAAAAAGAAAAAAAAAGGGGTGTTTCTTTCATTCCTTCTAAAGTTTGAAAAAGAAAAAAAAAGAAAAAAAAAGATTGCAAATCCACCAACTTGAGCAACATGCATTTTAATCTTTCAGTTTGATAGTATTGGACTTGTGTTTTCATTTCTTTCAGTATTTCATTGAATCCGGGTCTATCCCACCAATCTGTTATTTAAAAAAAAAAAAATCAAAAAATCAAAAAAATCAAAAAGTAAAAAAAAATTTCAATTAAAAAAAAAATCAAAAAAGTCAGAAGATCAATTTAATTTCCTGTTGGTGAGTCTCAGCGTCCACCGCGCACCCTTCTATCTCCCCTTCTTGACAATTTAATTTCCTGTTGGAGCGTAATCGCATCCCTCCGCGCATCAATTTAAATTCCTGTTGGTGAGTCTCAGCGTCCACCGCGCACCCTTCTATCTCCCCTTCTTGACAATTTAATTTCCTGTTGGAGCGTAATCGCGTCCCTCCGCGCATCAATTTAAATTCCTGTTGGTGAGTCTCAGCGTCCACCGCGCACCCTTCTATCTCCCCTTCTTGACAGATCAGAAGAATCAATTTAAATTCCTGTTGGTGAGTCTCAGCGTCCACCGCGTACCCTTCTATCTCCCCTTCTTGACAAATTTAAATTCCTGTTGGAGCGTAATCGCGTCCCTCCGCGCATCAATTTAAATTCCTGTTGGTGAGTCTCAGCGTCCACCGCGCACCCTTCTATCTCCCCTTCTTGACAGATCAGAAGAATCAATTTAAATTCCTGTTGGTGAGTCTCAGCGTCCACCGCGTACCCTTCTATCTCCCCTTCTTGACAAATTTAATTTTCTGTTGGAGCGTAATCCGTCCCTCCGCGCATCAATTTAAATTCCTGTTGGTGAGTCTCAGCGTCCACCGCGCACCCTTCTTTCTCCCATTCTTGACAAATTTAAATTCTTGTTGGTGAGTCTCAGCGTCCACCGCGCACCCTTCTATCTCCCTTCTATCAATTTAAATTCCTGTTGGTGAGTCTCAGCGTCCACCGCGCACCCTTCTATCTCCCATTCTTGACAAATTTAATTTTCTGTTGGAGCGTAATCGCGTCCCTCCGCGCATCAATTTAAATTCTTGTTGGTGAGTTTCAGCGTCCACCGCGCACCCTTCTACCTCCCATTCTTGACAATTGCATTTGATTTCCTGTTGGAGCGTAACCGCGTCCCTCCGCGCATGTTTTTATAGTTGTGACAAGTTACTTTTCTTGACTGTTTTGATTAATAATTGTGCTTTCTCATTCATTTTGTGTTTCATGTTTAGAGATCTAAGAGTTCAAACTTTTTTTGACTTTGCAAAGATCACAGTTGGTCAATGCACTGGTTTCATTGTGGTTCACTTGTATTCGAACTACGTTTGACCTGATTCCCATGATGGGATACGTAGGCAACTCTATAGGAGTTCGGTCACGTGTTTTGCAACTTTATTGCATCATTTTATTCAATAATTTCAGCCAATCGTTGACCTGTTTATTTTAACACAGGTGCAGTTAGAAGAAACAGGTAAGCAATTTGGTGTCTACGTCTTTGTCTTGACTTTCCTTGAAACTCTAGACAAAGAGGGGCAAGCTGTAGACACCAAATTTTTATCAAATTTAATATTTTTCTCGATTATTTTTCTATTTGATGAGTCATTTATTTTCTTACATTTTAATGTGTATTTTTCTTATATTTGCAGGTTTGTTTTAGCAAAAGAAAAATAACAAAAAAAGAAAAATCAATTTTTAGAAAAACAAAAATTCAAAAAAAATTAAATAAAAAAAAGAAAAGGTGGAAGACATCATGATTCTAGGCATCATGATGTCTAGACATCATGATTCATTCCTTTTTGACCAGGCAACGGACTAAAGCAGCAACGGAAGAATGAAAAATGGGGGAATTTTTGCAAACAAGTCCCCGGGGCTCCTTTCCACGAAACTCTCTCGGAATTCTCTCAATTCTCCCAACTCTCTAAAATTTCTCGGCTGGTTCAAGGGGCAGAAAGAAGGAAGAATTAATTTTGGCAGACGGATCCCTGGCTCAATCTCTCTCGGTGGAGCAATGGAACAAAAGAAGGGAAGGAAGAAAATTGCTCCGAGGACCTCGACTGAGGCAGAGGCAGAAAAGAGAAGGAATTTGCAGTAGAGGTCCCTGGATCATCTCCCGAACTCTCTTCCTCTCTCTCGGACTTGGGCAGAAGAAAGAAAACAGAGCAAAAAGAAAAATGCTCCCTCCTCTCTCCCCAAAATTCAACACACCCACATACAATTCAGACACAAGCAGGTAACAACTGGACAATTGGAGCTGGAAATTGCATCAAAACTTCAGCCAAGACAATACAAACTTCATTGAGGTATTTGTTTATTTTATTTTTTCCAGTTTTTCTTTTTCCTTAATTAATTAGATTAAACTCATCCGTTGCTACCTATTTGTCTATTTCTTTCACTGATGTTGTTGAATTTTTGGGGAAGCCATGAATAAACATTAAAAAAAAATGATTTCTGTAAATGCATGTCAAGTCCTTGTGAAAATGCAAAAATAACAAAAAAGAGTTTTAGGGGGTTTGTTTTGATTTAATGTTGTAATATTTGTTGTTGATTTTATTGATTTCAGTTTATAGTTATATTGTGAAAATCACAAGGAGTGTTGTAGTATAATTTTTATAATTTTTGGTAAAAGATAAGGTGATTTGAAAAAATAAAAATCGTGATTGTTTCTGGCATTTTGGCTATCTTCGGATTATTTTCTGTACAAACTAAATCCGAATTTGGAATCTACTCGAAAAATCGAGTGGAAGTGTGTGTTTTGATAATTTTTGGGTGACCGAAAAATCGCTGGCGATCAGCGATCGGTGGCACTGTCGGCACAGCCATTGCCGCCAACTGAATGTGGCAGGGAAATTTGCAGCGGAATGAAGATTCAGATACTTTGCAATGATTAATGGGATTTTGCATTTTTGGGCCCTCAATTTTTATATAATCTTATTGTGGCCGGAAAATATGAAAAATCGATCATTTTTCCCCTTTAAATTTTAAATTTCTTTGGTTTGTTTAATATGATTTTTGAACAGATTATTTATGAATTTTAGGATGAAATTTAAGGTTTAATATTTTTTGATAAATTTATTATTTTGATTGGGTTTGGTAAAATAATTGGAGTTTTTGGCTTGAGGTTTGTTTGGTTGGAATTTGATATAAAAATCTGGCCTATTTTGCTTGGGTTTTAGAAATGGGTTGTTGGTTTATTTTTTGAGTTTTTTTTTACTTGGGTTTAGGAGGTTAAAATCCAACATTTTGGGTTGGGATTTTGGATTGGGTTTTGATTAATTTGATTGGGTTTAATTAGTAAATAAAAAGTGGGTTGGCTTGCTGGTTTTCCTTTGGACTTTACTTGGGCTGAGTTGATTTTAGCCCGAAGAAAAATAAAGAACGGCCCAATGGCCCATTTCCTTAAATGATCTGGTGACAAATTTGCTGTTGATCCCTGTACTTTTTATTTATTGTATTGTGGCCCTAATGACTTTTATTACTTTCAATTATGTCCCTGTTGTAATTGCAAATAGGTCCTTTAATTTTATTTTTCTTTAATTTGGACCCCATATCTTTGTGATAATTGAATTGGATCCCAAAACTTTGTTTATTTTTGCAATTAGATCCTTAACAGATTGGACTTCTTAAATAGAAGTTGCTTTTCTTCTATAATCATTGATTACACTTCATTTAAGTGTTTCAATTGATTGATTTCATTTTTATTTCCATTTGCTATGATTTATTTGTTATTTAAATTGGTGCCTTGATGATTTTGTTAATTTTGGAGGTAAATAGGGCAAATCCAATTTCCCATTAATTACCACTTCAAGGGAGGTATCTTCTTGTATCATTTTAAATCCCCTTATGTGCTCCAATGTGTTTTATGTGCAATTACATGCTTTGAGTGTTATTCTTTTATTTATTATTATTCTTTTCTTTTTATTATTGTGATTCATTTTTAATTTTATTTATTTTATTTTATTTTATTCTTGATTATTTGAGAAGGCAATTAAATGCCACAATTGTAATAGTTAGGTATTTATTTTAACTATTTATTTTATTTCCCTTTTAGATTGTAGTAGGCTTCCCCCTAATGTAATAGTTAGGGCTTGTTTGCTTTATTTACTTGGTGTGATTTGCGTGCTTCTTGCTACGTGTTACTGTTTTTCTTAGGATATTTGCATCTAGATATTATGCTTACATGTTATGTGTTACGTGCTCTTATGTGTTTATTTATTTTAATTTATATTTTATTTGTTTACTATGTATTGTTAATGCATAACGTCACCACACTAGTCTAACGCTAGTTGTGGCTTCTCCCTCTATTTACTTGCTAGTCCAACGCTAGTAAGGATTTTTAGAAATGGGCTAGTCCAACGCTAGACCCGTATATGGTTCATGCATTAGATTCATTGTCGTATGATATTCACTACATTTTCATGCATATTTTATTTTTTAGGATCTTTTCTCATTTGCATGATATTTTCTATTATATTATCCTCTACCCCTTACCCTCTACATATGTTAATCATATCATTTAGAATTGCATTTCATTTAAGAAATTGTGGAATAAGTTAGTTCATTTGCTTGTTCATATTAGAATAATTATTCTTTGAACAGGAAAATGGGTTATTATGACTTTTTTAGTTTAAATATCCCATTAATCCCTGTATAATAAAATTATGTCACGAGTTTTTGTCTCCCGTACCCATTACGATGCATCCCTATTCTTTGATCACTTATATCTATGTATAGAATTTAATTGTCTTCTTCTTTTTATTTGATTTCATCATTTGCATATTCGTGACTCCTTCAAGGTATTGTTTTGGCCTTCGCAATTAATGCGACTGGTATCAATTAAATCCTTGAATGAACATTTTGTCTCTCTCGATATTTTTATTTGCATCCATGTAAGATACATCCAAATGTGGTAAATTAAGGGTTAGATTAGGAAAATTTTGACTAAACCTCGCAACTAGCTTAGACTAGGTTGAAAGGGTGCCTTAGGTTTGAGTTAATCGAACCTTTGCCTTCCCTTTCTTCAACCGTGACTCCCGAATTCATTTTTTCTGTTTTCAAAGACCTGGAGTTGTCAAAAAGGGTTTTATTTTATTTCTATTTAAAAAATATTTTTTTTTGGTGACTTGGTACACCCAAACTCAATACCAAGTGGCGACTCCTATTTTTTCTTAAAAACCCTTTTTAGACTAAATTTTGGACCCAAATCGTCGCATTTTTCAAAGTCCCATTTTAGGTCCTTTTTCACTTATTTTAAAATAAAATCACATCTTTTATAAACTCCTTTTATTTCCCATCGCGAAAAATGGGGCGCGACAGACACGTCTCACCAGGAGGGAATCTGCTTGGATTATTCTCACCAGTTTTAATGCTACTTAAGTTTGTGTTATGTTTAGCCTTTTTCTCCTTAATTAGGTATGTTTAGTCTTTTGATGTATTGTTGTTTACTTTATGTTTCTTTTACCATGAGATCCTTGTAATTTTGTAGTTTCTAAATTTTTATGAAAATTTTCATTTATTGCACATTATTTAATATTTGATTTGAAATTCATTTGTTAGCTTGCTTATATGCAGTTTCAATGTATTGATGTATTCAAATTTTGGTTCATAGCTTGTTTTCTTCAACATGTATATAAAAGGGGGAATGCAATGCCTCAAGAGGGTGCTTGTGTTGCTGACGCCGCAACATGTGATTGGTTGGAGAGTGTTCGTCCAAGCCTTTCTTAGGTTCCCATTTCATTTACTTTTTCATTCTTTTTAAACGCAGATGTGATTGATTGAAGAAGGTCACTTGCTCTCCCATTTCTTTTCCTTGTTCATCGCCATTCTCCTCTCTCTCTAAGCCCATCTCTCTGTTTTCTTCTTCATTTTCCTAAATGCCCCCAAAGCCCTTCTATCTCTTTTCTTCTCCATAACCGGCAACATCAGGACCAAAACAGATGGTATTTTTTTTCCTTTCCCTCCCTGAATTTCTCTAGCCTTTTGTGTTTCTTTTTAGCTTTAGTTGTCTAATCTAATCTAATCTAATTGGTATATATTTTTTATATTGCAGGTGAAAATTTTCGAATCTTTTCCACCATTCTTGTGAGACTGAGATTTTTTCCCTTTTTTTTAATTGGGTTCTAAAACACGTGGTTAGCTTTGCTCTTTTTTTCCCCTTTCTTTTGCCTTGTATTCTTCCTTTTCTTGCCATATTTGTATCTTGATTTTGCTGTTGGCCAAAAAGCATTAAAAAGGATTTAATAAATTTGAGAAAGTTTCTTGGAACTTTTCCCGATCTAATGCCTTTATAAGAAATTGTATCTTGATTTTGCTCTTGCCCAAAAAATATTAAAAAGGATTTACTAACAAATTTTATAAAGTTTTTTGGACCAACGTAGTAGTTCCAGAAACCCTATCTCGACATCATCTCCTTCAAATCCCAAAGGGTTGCCGTCTCTTCTCTCGCCGATCCCTTCTCGCTCTCCAAAACAAGAAGTATGGTTGGAAGAATTAAATCCAAAAACAAGGAAATCTGATTTTCTGTCCATGCTTTCTTGGGAGACCGAGGCTGTCAAGAGAAGATCATTATCAAGAAAAATTGTATGTGATTTTGCTTCTTTCAGTTTCATTCTTCTAGATCTCAGTTTTTTCACTATTTTTTTACACGCATTTTTAATAGTTCTCCTGTTACTTATTTGTCCTTTTTTCCCTGCCCTTCTATAGCACCTGTACAAACTTATGTGATTTTCTATTATGTATGGGAAAATTGCTTGGTGTATTTTTTGGTTGTTTTGGATTCATGGGTTGTTCAAAGCACAATGTCTTTGGCTAAAAACTTGGTAATTATTTCTGTGTAACATTTTATAACCTTCTTTTTTTCTATTTGTTTCCATTTTGCATATGAACAATTTATTTTTGCTCATATTTATTGTTGTTCACTTTTTGGGTTGAATTTTATAGGGGTAATGCTTTGTTTTGTATCAGTCAGTCTAAGCCCAAGCTTTGGGCTTTTAGCATAGTTCAGCTTTGGACAGGTAAGCTGTTACACTTTATTTAGCAAAATATCTTAGTCAAATGGATGTGCTTGTATATTAATAATTAGTAGATACCTCTATTGATTAAGAGAAAATGATTAAGTTTCTGTTGATTATCTTTTCTGCTATTTAACTTGCAAATGGTTTCTTTGTGTCCTTATTTAGCATTAAATTAGATGGACACCGGGCTCTTCATGATGGAATTAGGTATTAAATTTATCGACATATAATAAAGCAAATAATGGCCTTCTACTACTTTTAAAGTGCTGATTGTAACCTTTTTTATTTCACCTTTCGTTTTAATATAACTATCTCTATGAATGGAAATTTTTTTTACAACGGTGTCTGTATTGTGTATATAATAATGTAATGGAAAATTGTGTATTTGTAGTTATTGCATGTTTTATATTGTAATTGAAGATTGTTCATTTATTATTTGGCTACACTGGTGCAGTATGCCCCAACCTATGAATTGTACAAAAACCTTTGCCCCATACTTTTGCTTTCAGGGATAATTATATGGAAAAAGCTTGTCTGGCATATAGGTGCATAGATAGACACAGATGTTGATGTTCTTGTAAGTGAAAAAAGTTAGCTTAAAATGGGAGGGCTAATGATAAAAGAAAAAAAAATATGATATACTTTTGAAAAATATGGTAATTGCTGCTAATATTTAACCGTATAAAGTGGATTTTTGCAGTACCACTCAAGAATGCTTCTGCCATATGATTAACAAAACTACGTGTTTAGTTATGTAGGAAGCAGAATCGGCCATCCTTGAAGCATTATCGAGATCAAAGCCTGGAAGCGTATGACCCTGGATACTAGATTTTTGCACTAACAGTAGCTATGCGATCTCTGTATTACCTACTATAAATGTATATCAGCTCTTGATGCTTTATATCTCACGTGGATGGTGTTATCATGATATTTTTGTTTGGATTGAAATCTTGTACAACTTGGTCAGTTATTTTGTACTAAGAGTTTCCATTCCTTTTGCTACTGATGTATTCAGAGGATAGAATTGTGGCCTATATTAATAATCCTCCTCCTTTTTTGGTCAAATGCAATTTATCCCACTAAAGGTGATATGTAAGCAGAGTTTCTTTTCATCGGATTTCTTGAAGTTACAGGCTAATGAAAACCTTTTTGGTTATTGTACTACACAGTAATGTGTTTTTTGGTCCTTGGGTTAGTTTGAAGTGTAAGATTCTAATAACAAGGAAAAGCCTTGATGCAACACTACACTCTGCATTTTTTTTTCTTCCGGAACAGGTTTGATATGTAATGAGAACCTCTGAACTGCGGTCTACTGGTCTTAAGTTTCATAAATGTACATTATCTCATGCACTCATCTTTCCTTTTATGGGATTCTAGCTGTTGACGTCCATCCAATGATCAAGGGTAGAATTGCATCAAGGCTTGTGTAACTTCCTTTTTCCTTTTTTTGTGTGTGTTAAGTAGTTGACCATCCCCTATGCTATTGATGTATTGACAGGATACACCCTGCATTAGTAATCCTCCTTCGTTTTTGGTCAAATGCAGTTTATCTCACTAAGGTTGATATGTAATTACGAAAACAGGTGATTGGTTGTATCACATTCTAATAACAAGGCCAAGCCTTGATGCAATACAACATTGGGCTGTTTTTTTTTTTTTTTTCATTTTGAGCTACAAAGTCACAGGTTTTTGTGTACATAAAAAATGTAAGGCAGCATTATACGGTGATATATTATTTTGTTTGCTTTACATATTTACAATGCCCATATAACTACACCTTTCCAGTACAACTGATTTTTCGCTCATATTCCTATATAATATAGCTCCATTTTGTGCTGCTAATTTTCATTCTCTCCTGTGTTACTAGCTAAACGTTAACTGGGCATGTATACCACCGCGCATAGCGCGGTGTTACCACCTAGTCCTATTGTTTAACCACCAAAAGCTGGTTATCCATGACTTATGGGCCCCCATTAAGAACTTTGTCTCTATCGATATCAAATTCGAAATGAATTGGAAGATGTTGGCCTTTAGCTCTGTCACTTGTAAATTCCTGGGTAACCCCAAGCATGATTCGTGAAGTTTTTGAGTCCTGTATAGTTTGCTATTTTTTCCCCTACATGTTTCCCTATCGAGCTCAGCCTACATTCCTTCACACTTATTTCAATATCAGCCTCGCTTAAATCTACTCCTACCTTCTTAGTGGGTGAGAGATCAAATTTTTGGAATGCTGCTTCAAGAGCTTTCTGTCAGGGTTGTGCGAGTAAGTATCCCTTGCTAATCTCCAGTGATGATTGGAAGATTGATGAATCCTAAGGATTTAGGAATAAAGAAACAGTGCAATCAGTGCCCTAGGAAGATTGAGGAAACACGATTAATAGAACAAAATAAGACCAAATCCTAAAAAGATCTTTTTCTTCTCTCTGTAGAGGAAGGGATAGTCCACAGATCAGAACAAAACACAAGACTTTATCCTAATTTGTCGATACAAAAACAGAAATGGATTAAGAAATTTAGCGATGATAAAAGCAGATCTTGGCAAGTTCTATCGATCTAGTAGTTTAATTTTGAATTTTGAACATTTTGGTGAGGGGCCTCCCAAAACCAGAAGATGTACTCTTCATTGAAGAGAAAGAAGCTCTCACAAGAGGAGATAGAGTGGGGTTCTTTGTTGGCATTATTGTACTATAGGCATTAAGAAAAGAGTAAATTTTATATATATTGTCAGTGTATATACTATCATGGTTGAATGGATGACACATGAGCAAATTTTGAATTTTAAATTCAAATTTTGCACATGTGTCATATATTTAATGGTGATAGTGTATACACTGACAGTGTATATAAGATTAATCCATAAAATATACTATGGATGCAACCTGCATCAAGCTATGGCCTTTAGTACATGTTGCTAAAAATGTAGCAAGTTAAATTGGAAAATAGATTATCAGAAGAGAAATATATTTTATTAAGCACTGTAGAATAAAAATTTTAAGTTTATAGTATGAAGTAATTATTTGATATGCAACTTTTGTGAACTCAATCTTAGATATCACTTAGGAGGGTATTTAGAAGAGTTGTTGATGACATTGATTGTTTTGAACACAATTTTCTCCAACATTATTCGTACAAATATAATCAATTGCAGTCTTAACATTCATCATTCAATCCGTTTGTTTACTGCGAAATTCGACCTTCAAAGAGATGGGACCAGTTATTTTCTTAAGGTTTGTAGCGCTCCGAACATCATTGTTCTTATCTTGCTTCCCATTGTTCTCAATTCCCTTTTAAGCTTTTCGAGTCTTCACTAAGTTTGCCATCCGTGGACCATTGCATCAATTCCTTTCAAGTCTTGTTAACTCATTAGCCTTTTGGGTATTGCTGTCAAATTCACCATTGTTCTCTAAGCCTGGTGTCCACCATTGTTCAGTAGTAGTCCTCGGGAACATTCTCAAGGCTAAAGATGAAATTGAGAAAGAAATCTACATTATTCAAACCATTTTAGATTTGAACATCCGAATACAGAAATTGTGCAATTCCTTATTAAGCACGATCCACGATAAATGAATGGTTAAGTATGAGTAAAACTGGAGCAAATGATTCTTTTTTTTTGGGAGCAGAGGAAATGGTTTTGAAGTTAACTTCAACTTATTTGACAAATTAATCAAGTAGAAAAATATCAAAACTAATAACGTTTTAACACAGAATTAAACTTAGACAATATATTTTTGAAACATCTCCAATTTTATCAAGAAATGAGCAAAAATTTGTAGTAAACTAAAGTTTCTATATTTAAAATTAGAAAACCAATAAAAAATGAATAACTCAGAGAGCTCACCTAAACTCGAACGAGAAACCACACCTACGCCCAAACATGCCCAACTGATGGATTTCTAGAAGCAAAAAGTCATTAACAAACATTATCAAAGGAAGGAAGACAAAGGGAAGAGCAGGAAGAGGAATCTTTCGAAATACGGATCAATATCCACATAAAGAAAGCAAGCATATCTCGTAAGCTTTAAATCAATAGCAAACCGATACAAATTGTTGAAGAAATTTTCAATTAATTTCAAAGGTCACACCTAGCAGCTTTCTGCAATTGTGCTTACAACCTTTCGAGTTTCAAATGATTCAACCGCTATTTGAAGGGATGCATCTCTAGACAAATTTCTAACATTCAATAACCATCTAAGGACATGAAATCTTATTTATATGGATCAATTTGTAGTATTTTGGCTGCAGACAAAAAGATCTACAAAGTCTAGAAAAATTTTCTGGTCTTCTCTTCTTTGTTCTTTTGGGGTTGTAACAACTTAGTGCAGAATTTTTGCACATCTTATTCTAGGGAATATTCATCCTTGGTCTTTTGCACATTATAGTGGATGAATAAAGGTTTGAGGAAAGTGATTTGTAATCACGATTTAAAACTTTTTTCTAGTTAGTGTAGACACCAAATTTTTGTCAATTTTTAATGTTTTCTTGGAATTTTCTATTTAATGAGTTATTTATTTTCTTGCACTTTAATGTGTATTTTTCTCATTTTACAGGTTTGTTTTAGGAAAAGAAAAACAAAAAAAACAAAAACAAAAACAAAAACAAAAACAAAAACAAAAACAAAAAAAAGAAGAAAAATAGAAGATAAAATCCTCCCCTAATTATTTCTCTTTTCACCAAATACACTATTGATCCATTTTTTGCACTCAATGTTCCATGCATCTTTCTTTTCATTTGGTGGAAAACTCATCGTTTTGATTAACCAAAAACTCCACCAAATTTTTTGTACTCTCTCGGCTCTCTCTTGTCTCTCAACTGGACAAAAAGCCAGACAAAAAAGAAAGACTCGAAGACTCCACTCTTGCTCCCATATACTAAGCTCTCGGCCTTTTCTTTGGCTCTCAACAAAACCAACACTCCAATTTTTTCTCCCTCAATCTCCATCTAGCTCTCTGCCCTCCTCTCCTCAAGAAAAGAAAAAATTTCCAGCACACTTCCACTACACAAACACACACCAATACATCCTCACTCTCACCCTTGACCCTCCTCTCTCCCAATAGTTTCCCAACACACTCGTACACAACAAAAAGGGAGGCAGCAATCGGTTGGATAATTGGATCTTGGGAATTTGCATCAAAAACTTCAACTAAGGGATTGCCAACTACATTGAGGTAATTTTTAGTTTTGTTTAGCACATTAAATCCATGCTTCATTGTTTAATTTCCTTTTGCTTTTGCTGGTTTCCTTGGTTGTTGGGTTGCTGAATTTTGGGATAGGTCATGAACAAAATTAGGAAAAGAAGAATGGCTTTTGTATATGCATGTTAACTGTTTGAAAAAATGCCAAAATGGAAAAAATGAATTTTAGGGGCTGTTTTGCTTTATTTTAGCCCTTTTATGTTGTTTTCTTATCAAATTAAAATCATAGTTGTATTGTAGAAGTTGTAAGAAGTGTTATAGTATAATTTTTATGATTTCTGGTGAAGGATATGGTGTTTTGAAAAAATAAAAACTGGGCTGTCTTTTGCCATTTTCGTCATTTTCAGTTCATTTTTGTAAAAACTAAGCTCAAAAATGGAATCTACGCGAAAAATCGAGTGAGAGAGTGTATTTTGGTAATTTTCTACGACCGGAGAGGTCGCCGGCGACCGGCATTTCAGCTAGCCAGGCAAGAAGAAGAAGAAACCGAAGGGGAGGAAGAAGAAAGAAAAGAAAAAGAAGAGAAAAGAAAAAGTGTTTGGGCTAAATTTTATTTTTTTTGGTGGGCTAGAGTTCCTCTTTTCGGGTATTCGTTTGGGCTGAAGGGATTTTTGGCACAGAAAATAAACAAAATTTGGCCCAGTGCCCTTGTTTCCTAAGACACCAGAAACAGATTTTGCAAATAAGTCCCTGATCTTTGGAGTAATTTTACTGCAGCCTAGAACATTTTAAATTTCTTTCACTTGGGTCCTTAAATTAATTGCATTTGGTCCCTGAACTTTATCTTTTATTTAATTTGACCCCTAAACTTTGGAAAAATTATATTTTTAACCTCAAAAGTTTTTCAATTTTTGCAATTT